GTGCGAGCGGAACAGGAGCTTCTCATCGAACAACATCCCGAGATAAGTAACATCAGCGGACCACTCGACCCTTGTACCATCCATTATTACGGTACAGGAGGGAGACGGTTTAAGTTTTGGCGATTGTCTGTGAAGGAACATGATCGCTTGGGTTTTCGAGGCGTTGATTTTGATTTTCCACGTGGTGGCATAATCAGTAAAGGTGTCAAGGCATCGTTGGAGCTTGTTTGTAATTTCACGAGGCATCCTACCCTTGACGCACAGAACAGAAGGAGAAGTGCAAACAAATCGGTGAAACAAAAGTGGTTCGTTTTTCTGCTCAACAAGCGATGTGTTGTGGTAGCGTTCCACACGGGCTTTCTATGTGCACTCACACTATCATAGCATGCTGCCTATCTTAACTGCAGGCAGAAGATGCCTTCTACCGCTAGGTGCGCTAGTGTTCGCAAATGACTAGTGGAGCCACTTTCTGATCCAAAGTTCCACTCCTGTGCTTGACGGCTATCGCGGTGTCATCTGCGAACAGGAAGAACACGCAACCGTCTCCTAGAGGAGGGATGTCCGACGTGTAGATGCTGTAAAGCAGTGGTCCCAGCAAACTCCCTTGCGGAACACCTGCTGGGATCGGAAATTGTCCCGAAAGGGAACTATTCAACGACACCCTGAACGACCTTTGCTGGAGATAGTTACGGGTGATTTTCACAAGGTATGGTGGAAAGTTAGAGTTACAAAGCTTGTATATAAGTCCGTCGTGCCAGACATTGTCAAACGCCTTTTCGACATCTAACAAAGCCATGACTGTGGACTTGGATACAGCTTTGTTACTTCGGATGTTATTCATCACCCGCACTAGCTGATGATTGGTGGAATGCCCCTTGCGGAACCCGAGCTATTCCGGAAGAAGAATGTAATGTTCCTCCACAAACTTGTTTAGTCGGCTGAGGATCAATTTTTCGAACAGCTTGCTCAGCGCTGAGAGCAGGCTAATCGATCTGTAGCTTGACGGTAGTGAAGGGTCTTTCCCAGGTTTGCGGATCGGGATGATTTTTGCCACCTTCCAGATGCTTGGAAAGTAGTGCAGCTCCAGGCACCTGTTGAGGATGGCAGCCAGCAGCGAGTGCACCCTCGCGCTGAGATTTTTCAACTCTAGGTTGAATATTCCATCAAACCCGGGAGCCTTCATGTTCATCCTGTGTTTCAGCGCTGAGCAAATTTGTTCCTCTGTAATCCGTTCCTCTAGAGGGACGGCACAAAAGGGGGCATCTAATGTCTGGACGCACTGTGCAACCTGGTTCTCGAGTGGACTTGGGATATTGGAGCCAAGCAAATGCGACTGGGCAATGTGCTCCCCAATCGCATTGGCTTTCTCTTCGTTGGTAATAAGCCGTTCGTCATTGACTCTAAGTGGTGGAATGGGCTTGGGGTGAGACTTCAGCACCTTGGCAACCATCCAGAATGGTCTGGAACGGTCGTCCAGGTTCTGAACGAGCCGCCCGAAACTCTCGTTCCGGATTGAGATCATTCTGGAAGCGATCTGCCGATTCAGATCGACCATTTCGCATTTACACTGCAGATCCCCAGTCCGCTGAAACTGGCGTCTACGAACATTTCTGAGCCGAATCAAGAGTTTGGTGTGGGAATCAATTGCTTGAAACTTACCCCTCACAGGAACTCGTCGAACGCACTCTTCGTCAGCCATGGATATGGCTTGATGGAGACCCTCCAGGGCCCGGTCGATGTCCTCCACTGTGTCGAGCGGTGGGTTGTCGTCGATGTGGCGGTCGACCACGCGTCGAAACTGGACCCAGTTGACTCGATGGTAGTCCTTCCGCTGGCACGGTGCAGGGGCCACGTTGTAGCCCAGCTCGGTCAGCACCGGTTGGTGGTCCGAACTCAGGTCGTTGACGGCAACCGGCTTGGCTAATCCAGTGTTTGCCAAGAACAGGTCCAGCGTCGATGGGTTGCCCACCGGTGATGTGAAGGTTGGTTCGTCCGGAAACCAGACGGAATAGAGACCATGCTGGGAATGGTCGAATAATAGGCGGCCGTTCTGGTTCTGCTGGTAGTTCCACCAGACCTCGTGCCGGGCGTTCAGGTCCCCTCCGATTACGAAGCGGGCATTGGTGCGGGTTATGATGGTAAGGTCGTTCTTGAACTGATGTGCTGAACCATTGCTAACGGTACATTGCCGGGGCAGTAGGCGGCGATGAACCGGACGTTTCCGGTCGATGTCTCCACTTCCACGCCGACGGCCTCGATGATGGAAGTGCGGTAGTGGGGGTAGGGTGCAGTACTTGATGCCTTTCTTGATGATGACCGCGACACCACCCCCCCCCCCCCCCCTGGAGCTGGTGCGATCAAACCGGACAATGCTGTGGTCGGGCAGCCAGAGGCTGTCACCGGTCTTGAGGTGGGTCTCGGTGAGAAGGCCCACGTCGATGTCGTGCTTGTGGAGGAAGTCTGCAAGCTCAATGTTTTTCGCCCCTACGGAGCGAGCGTTCCAGTTGGCGATCTTTATGGCTTCACGGTCCATAATTAGCGACGAAGGAGATGATAGCTTGGAGCTGTTGTGTTCTTGTAGCGCAGGTGCGCTTGATGATGGTGGCCTGGGCCAGCAGTGTGACGATCTCATCCGTTGACAGCGGAGAATCGTCGGATGCTTCGCCGGTTGTACCAGCCAATCCCGGAGCAGGGGGATCCGTCGATGGGCCGGAGGCTTGACCGGGTACTGCAGCGGAAGTCGACTGGGCAGCAGCCAACTGTTGGTTGAGCGGGAGCGGCGCCAACACTGGAATTGGCCGTGGTTGGACCGGTGATAACGGAGGAAAGTTCTGCGCGTTGTTTTCCGGAACCTTCTTGCGACCGGGCTGGTTGTTGGACGAGGCCTTCTTCCGGATCTCGGCATATTCGGCTCGCTTCGGACAGGCCTTACTCGTGGCCTTGTGGGCGACACCGCAGTTGGCGCATGTGGGAGCGGCTTCCTCGATGCTGTCGCAGTCGTCGATCTTGTGGTTTTTGCCGCATTTGATGCAGCGGCTGGCCATGCGGCAGTTCCTGGTGCCGTGCCCGAACAATAGGCAGTTTGAGCACTGAGTGACGCCACGGTGGGTCGGCTTATACCGCTCCCACTTCACTACGATGTCGAACAGAGTGCGTGTCGTCCGGAGATCCTTCACGGTTGTGGAGTTCTTCTGCAGATGGACCAGGTAGAGCTGGTCACGATACTTGATGGCCTTGCTGCGGGTCATCTTGAGGCCGTTCGCCTTAATCTCGTCCATTAAGGTGGTGGTGTCCATGTCGTGGAGCCCGCGCAGCACCACTTTCAGCGGCTTGGTGGCCTCAACGTTGTGGGAGAAGTACTCCAGCTTCATCCTGTCCAAGAGGGCCTGGACTGCGTTGTAGTGATTTTCGGCCGAGACCATCAGTTTGTAGCCTTCCGTGCACCGTTGAATGGTGCAACGAAGGCCCTCCTTAATGTAGTAATCCAGCTTTTCCCATAGCCCGGGAGGGAAGCCCTTCACATAGAAGAGTGGCAACTTCACTTTTTTCGGCACCGTCTCAGGGTCCGACTGCGGCTGGGCTCCGTTCTGCAGGGCGGAGAACGGATTGTTGCTCAGCAGCTTTTTTGCTGCCGATGCGATGGCACTGCTGTCTTCAGTTCTGGGTCGTTTAGTTCCGGTGGTCGCGCCGTCTCCTGGGAGAGGCTGTTTTCCCGGTAAACCGGCACTCGCATTACCGCGCGATTTCTTACCCATGGCTGGGTCAGCGAGAGCGTCACTACACAACGCGGAGCTAATTCGATTTGCGAACGAACGAACGAACGAGAGAGAATGAAAATCGACTGAACTGCTCAACAGTCTGGCAGCGAATGAAGATGTCGTTGCATACTTGTAGTTGTGTCCGAGATTTTTAGGCGAAAAATAACGCCTGCGCTGGAAAATCCGCCGACTTCCAACGCAGATTCCAGAATGTGGAGATTATCGTCATTCCACTTCGTTATCACTAGATGGACGCCTAGTCTAGCAGGGAAGTACTGTAGCATCATCAACGTCGCATCATCGATGCGACATCATTAATCGACGGTGCAACATCTCGCACCAGATAGGTAGCAATAAATTTAAACAATAACCCTTTATTTTGCCTTCTGCACCAGTTTTCTAAAGGAAATTGTTTTCTATATTAGCTAAAAGGCATTGACTGGACTCCCAGCTTCTGTATATAAACCCTGTAGATATATTTGGAGAATATAATTTTTTTATCCACTAGAGAAATGAACACAGTTTTTTTCTGGCCCGTGTGCCAAATCCGGAGAACTTTGAGATTGGGCGTAATTGCTTTTGTAAACAAACATGTCAATCGCTGATTTCTCGCGAATAAAAGAACTATCTCGTGAACAAACCATACCAAATGATAGAGGAACCATTCATCTACCTGTTTGTGTTGTTAGTATTCAAGATTGAGCTTTAATTCGCGAGAAATCGTCAAGTGAAGTGTTTGTTTACAAAAGCGATTACGCCCTAATCTCGAAGTTCTCCGGAAATACAGTATTTGACAGTTTATTTTAAACCGGAGGCCACCGATTTGGATTTTTTTTTAAATCGGATGCCACCATTTTGAATTCCAAAATGGCGTCGAGCCTGAAACCCCATTTTTCTAATGCAAATTACAGTACTTTAATATACCGTTTAACTGATGTGCTAAAACCTAACTCCATGTTTGGTGCTATTCAAACTGAAGTTAAATTTGCGAACAATATCGTCATGACTTTGAAATCCAGTAATGGACTTTAAATCATTTAATATTTAAATTCTAATGCTCGATCTCTTATAAATAATGAAGACGAGCTATTCATCGTGCATATTGCCGTTATAACTGAAACCATATGTGGAAAAAATCTGCCCAACATCAAGGTTATCATTTCAAACATTGTTTTGCTATACCTCTTCTGTCTGAGTTACGAAAGACGCCGAGTTACATAATCAATTAAAATGAATACTTACACCACGACCAAAGTGACCTGAAAAGAGAAAATGGAGACAAGTTAAATTGTGTACTCTCAGAATTGAACAAACTCAGATAGCTCAATCGACCATTAAGCACCAAATATGTAGTTTCCCAAAACCAAACAGAAAGTTAATTGAAACATAACTCAATCGCCATCCCCAGCAAAGATAACAGTCTGACACTTCCACTCGACCAGCTAGACTGCATCACCCGAATCACTCCCATCGAAAGACGATATCACATAATAGACCTATCAAATTCAGTCACTCCTTCTCGGATCGCTATACCTATTTGTTGTTGACTCAACATATCACACAGCAGCACAGTACCGTCAGTAATGTGTGATAATGTAAATAATAGCGGGTGGCCCAGTTTACCCGAAAAGCGACGCGCCGTGCAACACACTAGACAAATGATAACCCACCACCGCAATGTGATCGAATTCTCAAGATATAGAAGTTTCCACACCGCAAGCAAAGCAAACATTGGCCACCGTCGTTGTTGGTTGGACGGAAGCCATCATAATAAAAGAACTCTTCCACAAATGGTTTGGACGATACCCTGAACATGTCGTTAAACAAAATAACCACACACATTTTATTCGGGTAGAGAAGGGGGCTCAAATAAATCAAGTCGTGTGTGTAGGTACTTATGAAGCAAACAAGCGAGAAGGGCGCGTCTAATCTAGAAACCAGAATCACCGCGAATGCCATGCTGAAGAATTTCTGTGCTCTGCTTTCTGATTATGTTCAATTTGATACGCATGCTTAACAATGAAAAGTTGAACCGCTAGAGAACCTTGGTCGGAAGTTGGAGCCCACGTGAGCAGCGCGGTATGTTCTTGTGAAATGGAGCATTTGCCGAGTTTCGCATTGTGTGCAACGAAGGTGTGAAGCTAATGTTTTGTGGCGAAACTTTTCAGACGGTGGGCTGTCGTAGGCCAACCGGACGGAATAAGTTCTGGGAACATATCTCGATTGCAGCCGAAACAATGGTAAGTTTGTTTTGAAGGTGATACATGAAAATGGGTATTCTGATTCCAGTGAATAAGATCACTTCGAGCAAAGCGTTGATTTCCAATCTTATTTATCTTACAAACTTGATCTACTTACAAAGAAAACGAAACTTCATTCCTTCCCTCCCGGGCGCAAAGTGAGGTTGTGTTCCGATTGTCATTGTGGTAGAATTTCCGGGAGAGCGATAACAATGAAGGAAAAACTGACAAGAAACCCAAATACTGCACTACACATTGCCCTTTCCCGTTCCCCCTCAACCGCACACACAGTCAGAGGAGAGAAATTGTGGCACCACCAGAATGGAGCTTACTTGTCACCAACCAACATCTCGTACTTGTCTTGTGCTGTAGGTGTAGGGTACTCGTGCAACGGAAGAACTAAATCTAGGTTGATGATATTGCAAGATTTCTTCCGTCCGTCGTCGTTGGCGTCCCTGTGTCCATCAATCTTGAACGGATTGCTAGCGTCTTGTGCTATATTACTACTGATGATTTTGGTTTGAGAGATGACGTTGCTAGAGAAAAGCAGTTCCAGGCCAAATAGAAAAAAAAAAGGAATTCTTGGCTGGACCTTTTCCGATTTGCATGAAATTTTACGGAGACGAACCAGCCCAGGGCTGAAAGTCTCCTTAATAAAGGTATAAAATAAATGGTAGGGGAAATGGATGTAATGTCGGCCAAAATGTCCCTAATTTGGGCCTATACATAATTACAGTAATCGACTAAATGTTCAATAGCGACTAAAAATATTCACATTCAACAATGGCGCGTTCATTTAGATAAAATTGATTAATAGCAGATTTTTAGCGATGGACCCAATTTCAGATCCATAGGCCAACATTAGAGTCATTTTCTCTATTTGACATTTTTCAATAAATGGTTGCACAAAATCGTCACTTCTGATCAGAATGACATCTGAGATAAAGCTGTTGAAAAAACTAAAGTTTTTCTTAGAAAAATTTTACATGGTTAAATATTGACGTAGTACTATCTTTGTGGAATGTCAATCTATCCAGCAGGCCACTTTTCACAAAATTTGATAAAATTATGTTTTTCGTAGTGTACCAACTGCCCACCATAGCGTACCTTCAAGGATTTGGAACGTACCTAGCAAATTCCTTGTTTTAGAGTGTCCTGCTGAATAGACGGGTGATTTTTCGAAAACCTTCATTAAACCTTCCAAAACTTTCACCAATGTAGTGTACCAATAGCGTACCTTCCAAATCTGAGGTTCATTTTTAACGTACCTCAAAATTTACTATACTTACTTATATAAAACTCTTTAAAATACATTATATGTTAAATCTTACCTCGGATTTGAACTTCTCGGAAAATTTTAGCCCGATTTGACCCAAAAGAAATATTACTGAAGTCTATTATACGCTACAAAATGACCAAAAACGTGAATTTAAAACAAGTATGTCGAAATACCCTTGAATACCTACATCCAGCTAAACATTCTGTTTACCCCTGAAAGTAGATGTCGTAAAAACATGGGAGAAGAAACTTTTATTATATTTAAAAAAACATTATCAATCTGTATGGGTACAGGTTGAACGTACCTCAAGGCAACTCATGTTAATATGGATGGGATGGATGAGTTTCTAAGAAAAATTGAATTTATTTGATTATTTTATAAAATTCGTAATTTTGTGATTATTTCTAGAAATATCTTAAATAATCCAAAAAAAATCAATTTTTTTTTAGAAAATCATCCATCCCATCCATATTAACATGATTTGACTTGAGGTACGTTCAACCTGTACCCATGAACATTGTTTCACGAACTTGTGAGAATATTTTGAGAAGATTTAATTCGCAGCATTCCCCGAAATATTCACAAAATTACGAATTTTCTAAAATAATCATAAAAATTCAATTTTTCTAAGAAAATCATCCATCCCATCCATATTAACATGATTTGCCTTTGCATAATGTCTTCCTCAGATTTGACCTCTTTGGGATGCTTCCGTAGTGCCTTCATAATAGCCCAGTATTTTTCGATGGGCCTTAGTTCCTGTGCGTTGGGGGGGGAAGGGGGGGGGTCATGTCCTTGGGTACGAAAGTGACCCCGTTGGCTTCATATTACTCCAGGACAACATTGGAATAGTGGCACGAAGCTAGATCCGGCCAGAAGATCGTAAAGCCCTCGTGTTGCTTCAACAGAGGAAGTAGACACTTCGGTAGACACTCCTTGAGGTAGATCTCCCCATTTACAGTCCCGGTAGTCACGAACGGCGCCCTCGGTTTGCCAAATGAGCAGATCGCTTTCCAAATCATATATTTTTTGGCAAACTTTGAAACATTCTGCTTCCTTACTTCCTCCGGAACATCAAACTTGTGCTGGAAGTACGCCTTGATGTACATGATGAGACAATGAGGCTTCGTCAGCATCAGGGTGTACAGTTTCCGAGCCCGTGACTTTCCCACCGTATTTTACCGTTCGTCACGATTTGGAGCCTTCAGCACTTTGTTCGTATGCAGTCCCTCCCGGTCCTTGGCTCTCTGAGCGAAAGACTTGGACAGATTCAACTTTTTGGCCACATCCCTGACCGAAGCATTGGCAGGGTGTCTACTCAATCTAAGGAATCAAAATTCCCTGAGTTTTCCAGGTTTTTCCAGGTCGTATGAAAAAAAATTCCAGGTGCATACAAATTATACACATTAAATATTATTTTATCTATTTATCCATCTGGAATCCCTTTTATGTACTTATTGATTTATGTTATTTTTGATTGTTCATGTAAGTCGGCACAGCAAAAAATTTATTGAATATTACAGCAGAACAGATGCACATAGGTTGTTTAATATTAATTTGTACAATTTATGTTTAGTAAATGCACCAATAGTGGAGGTACGTTAGTACAATGTACTTCTACAGCGGCTTAGAAACACTAAAAAAAAAAAAATTAAAAAAAGCCACCATAGGAACACATTGCACTAAAGTACCTCCACTATTGATGCATTTATCCTACGCATAATTTGCGAAAAGAAATTATATCCATGTTTGTAAACATTGTATTTGGTTTTTGCAGTCACATTAGTTATTCATACAGTAGCATGCATTACGTCAATCAATATAACATTCTTTTTTGGTATTTGTGTAGTATTTTTTTAATTCAAGAATATTAATACAAGTAAGAAACCTGTCTATACTATTTCAATAAAACGATATATCAAAATCTGATAACAATATGCTTTCAAAAACAAAATATCATTTTGATAATATGTTTGAGTCCAACTCTGTTTGGAAGATCAAGACAGAATAAATCATGGTTTCACATGTCTAAAATCTCTTAAGGTCCATTTAGACTATCTGATTTTGGTCTGATGGTCTTGTTTTTGACCGCCGCCATAATGAAAAATCTGCTCGAATTTACTTTCGACACACTTTGTCGAACCCCCCTGTTTGCTTATGTTCACACTGCTTGCACATGTCGAAAGAACTGTCAATTTAGATTTCAAAACAAAACTGTATCAGTAATCAAAAGTAAATACTTCCATCATGAATTACCGGAAAATTGCTCTAGTTTCGGCAGACGTATTTGCTTTTATTATTTTAAATAAAATGAGAAAGAGAAGGTGAACTTTGTGGAGTAGGAAATGGTTGCTCGGGAGGAACACCGGCAGGGATCTGGCTCATCTTGTCCATCAAGAGCTGCGACATGAAGATGAAAATGGATTTCAAAACTTCGCCAGGATGTCGTAACCAACTTTAGACAAGCTAGTGGGAAAAGTACTCACTAGATATACATGATTCCTTGAGTTCTGAAAATTTCTGTTAACAACTCAATTCTGCAAGGTTTTCAAACCTTCTGACGTCCCTGAAGTTTTGTTTCTGTTCTTCGGTAAAATTTCTTTAAAGATCAACAATCTTTCCTGACAATCTGCAAATGTCTCGGTAGTTCAGCAGATTTCTTTGAAGTTCTGTGTGTTCTTCAGAAGTTCTGCAAATTTTCCTAAAAATCTTCAATCCCAGTCGCCGCCGCCGAGATGTTC